TATATATATATATATATATATATATATATATATATATATAAGCAGATTTGTATATTTTTATGTACTTAATAAATACCTAATTCTATAAATTGGTATTTCGTACACAAAAAAAATTAAAAAGTTTTTATATAGAAAATACAAGATTTTTTATGTGAAAATATGTTTTTTTTTGTATAAATATGATTTTATAAAGAAAAAACATTCAAATTTTTTTGAAGAAAAAAAAGTTGTAAAAAAACTAAAGTTAGGATGAACTCATAACAAAATTCTAAAATTTGGGCCAAAAGGGTATATTTTGGACCAAATTTGTAATAAATTTTAAAAACTGGGCTAAAAATGTAATTTTTGAAAGTTGGATGACCAGTTGACCCCGTAAAGGGGTTAAATTGAATACGATTACCCGTTTTTGGGACTTAATTGAATAAAAAAAAAACATAGAAACTAAATCGATTATGAGACCAATATATAAGGACTTTATTGCAATTTTCCCTATAATAAACACAATAGAACACCGATTAATAAATGATCATATTAATTCCATTTCCACATAATCATGAAAGAATCAATCACATTAAAAAACAAGAGAGTAAAATGAATCACATAAAAAACATAATAATACATAAAGCAATTTTCGTTGTTGGTTATACAGGACATAAAAAAACAGAACAACTTTTACTGTGTTTGACTTACATTGGACTAATAACCATGGACAAAAACTCTTATATTTTTGTCCCACCAAAAAAGGTGGAATAGGGACCCACATTCAATCTCTTGTGTGTGGAAATGACCTAAATGCCCTCGTAAAAAAAAAAGAAAAAAAAAACTAGGAAGATTTTTTTGCATTTGCATCAATGTTTCTCCAAGGATTGAGAGCTTCTCGCATAGCTTGAGCTTCGGGTGAATTCTCCCAAGCCTTCTTTTCCGACTCAAGAACTGTCACTTTGTCATCTGTAAATAAATACATATTACCGAATATACCCTTTTATAATTTTTTTTATTCATATGTATCCAGATTTATCATAAAGTTTCATTACAATAAGAACCCAAATACAAATTCCACATGGGTCTCGTTACAAATTTTAGGACTATATGCAAGAAATAGCAACATACATTTGAAAAAAATCTACCCAATTATAGAAAAGTAATTTCATTCCATTCTTTGAAAATATTTATTATTATACCAACGAAAATTGCTTTGTATTTGGATATCATTTCTGTAATTGGGTAGATTTTTCATGATACAATGTTTCAATGTTCATAACTTCCCTTAAACATAAAACACACAAAGGAAACCTCGAATCTAGCTATCATCATTGATTCAAACAGATAGATAAAGCAAGATGGAGAATCAATCAAAATCCATACGATGAAATTTGAGAATAAAACAGCAGAAAAATAACTTACAGAAACCGGTTTTAATCATGAAATACTCCATGGATCCTCCAATTGCAGCTGATACAACTGCAATCTTCACATACCAATCCAAAAACTTCATTGATGTACACTGGAAATTGTATATATGAGAGAGCTTAACCCAACCCTGATTTAAACAATTGGAAGTTTGTAAGAAACTGAGGGGCGTCTTTGCCATTCTTAAAACTTAAAGGATGTAAAATAGAATAAACTACAAATGTCATTATTAGTCATTTCAATCACAGTTTTTTTTTAACTCAGTTCTCTTCGACTATTTATTTCAAATAAAACCAAACCCAAGTAGAAAACTTGACAAGCACAATGCTGTAACTATTTATCATGTGAAATTTCTAGTCATCTCAAGTTTGGAATACCTAGTCAGCTACAAAAACATAAAACTTGCTGTTAACGAATTCAAGACAGGTGCTAAAAACTAAAGATAAAGCAAAAAATTCACATTGGAAAATGGAGGTCAGCCATCATCACACCATAGTTCAAGGATTGAAAATAGGGTTATAGCCTTTTTAAAATACCATTCCCACCTGGAATATCCCATTTCCCAGGTAAAAATCGAAGTTACAGAGGTGAATTCGAAGTTATATAGGTGAAAAGGATGCCGATTGTTAGTTACAGAGGTGAAAACCATGGCAGATTGATTAATTGAAAAACCATGGCGGATTGATTAATTGAAGAGTGTTTCACATAAGCATTAGAAGTTCTTTACCTGACACGAAGGCTCACGACAGATAGCTAGCGGTTCACAGCAGAGAGACGGGATCGCAGATCGCAGACGGTTTACGCGGGGAGTCACGGAGTCACGGCAGCCGCGCAAGTGACGGAGGGCAGAGAGGGCAATCGGAGGCCGACGAGCCTAGAGGGGGATGAGAACGGTAGCCAATAGGGTAAAATTTTCAATTAGGTTGTATGTAAATATGTTATCCGTTATCAATATATCGACTAGTTATTTACCTTTTGTTTTTTAATGATTAATATGATATGTTTTTTGTATTAAGACTTTATTTTTCTTTAGAAAAGAACTTTGTGTTTATTTTATTTTTTACAATTTAATCGTCTTAGTATGTTTGCTATAATATGCGGGTTTAACGATTTTTTTTCAAAAAAAATTTTAATTTTTTGTTTTCCGAAAAACTTTAGAATTTTTTTCTCCGAAAAATCAATCATAATATGATAATTTTTCTAAAAAAGTGAGGGTTTTTTATGAAAAAATGTAAAAATATGATGGGTTATTCTAATAAAAAAAATTGAGCGCTTTTCAAGAAAAAAATTATCTAAAATCGAAAGAAGACCGATAATCCTGGTAAAAACACGAAATCAAAATAAATGAAAAAAAAATAAAATATTAGGTCTTATTAAAGAAAAGAAATATAAAATTGAGGTTTAATCCGGAAAAAAGTTAACTATTTATGATATTTTTTTGATCTTTTTTTTTTGTTTTGTATTTTTCGTCCCATGGTTGAATTTGGCTATAGAAATGGTTACTAATCGACAAAGAAGGGGTTATGTCTTCAACTCTTATGGATTGTTTGCAAGATTTTTTTTGTGCTTTTTTTTTATTTTTTTGTATTTTTCGTCTTGTGGTTGAACTTGGCTATAGAAATGGTTACTAATCCACAAAAAATGGGTTGTCTTCAACTCTTATGAATTGTTTGTAATATTTTTTGTTTTTTTTTTTTTGTATTTTTCGACCCATGGTTGAACTTCGCTGTAGAAATTAGGGCTGACAAATATGTACCACAGAGAACCAACCAACATTTTACCAACCGAACCAATTAAATCGGTAGCCAAGTTGTTTGGTAGCCAATATGTTTGGCTGGTAATACCACGCCAATTAAGTAGTTTTTGTACGGTAGCGGTATGAAATTTTGAATACCACGGTTGTACCGTAC